TGTGTGTGTACGTGCGGGCACGCGCGTGTGTGTGTGTGCATCCACCCGTTACCGAAGAGGAATAATAAACAGCGACACACGAGTATTTCACGACCCGTGAGTTGAATCCTCCATGTATCCACCGTCTCCATGTATCCACCGCGCGCGTCGATATACGGAATTCCTGAAGCCAAGCCACCTTTCGATCCGGCGGTCGAACCGGTGCGGATAACGTTTCGGCGGTATAAGCCGCGACCCAAATAAAGGCTTTTCTAGCACGAGGCGCAGGACCCACTCTCCGGGACTGGATCTTCTCTTCGTGGGGCTCCGCGACTAGCTCGGGTATGCGCACTCATGTAACAGGAGCATCCCCGTTGTTTGACTCTTAAGTGCTTGTACTATAGGGTGTTAAATGTCAAAAGGGTCATTCGACTAAAGGCCCGAAGGTTCATTCGAAATTCGAAATAAAGAAATCGAAATTTAAAATAGCTTTTGTGTGGCCAATCAGATTACGTGTTGCTTTTCTCTCTCTCCCGGGCCGACCAATTAGAATACGGATCTCATAATATCTCTCTAGTTAGTTTAGTTAGTTATTTACTCTCGGGATTTGATATCAGGCAAAGGTCCCAAGTTGGGAAAGTCCAAGAAAGGGAGCCAGCAATCCAAGAAAGGGAGCCAGCAATCCAAGAAAGGGAGCCAGCATTGGCCCAGCAATCCAAGAAAGGGAGCCAGGTCCATCGCCGTTTTTCGCAGTGCGCAAAAACAGGGAAAAAGTTGTGGCGGGCTGCGATATGTGTTTGTCGCGGCACACCACCATTTTTTATAAAGTAGGCCCTATACATGTAAAATCATCGTTTTATCGCCTTTTATTGTTCGCTGGAATCAAAGTACATCAACAACAACGGCAAATTTAGTAATTTACTGATTTACTGATGTAAATTTTCATATGGCTGAAAAATGTTACGACCGGGAGCTTCTGACCTCATTCCGAGGCGCGAAAATTTTTTTCCCACTTGAGTTCCGGACCCACCATAGATAGTGTTTTGTAATAAATGGTTCTTATATATATGGTTGGATTATAGATAGTGTTAGGGTTCGGGTACGCGTTAAGGTTAGGTTTAGGGTTAGGGTTAGGGATAGCTGGTATGAATTTTACATTGTTGCTTCGAGGAAGTCGAGTGAATGGAGTGCGCTGATTGGCTGTGGTCCGGAACTTAAGTGGGAAACAAAATTTTGCTTCCGGGGCACTGGGAGCAGCGTGTCATACCGGGAGACTTGGAACGTCTGCCTAGGCTTTCGTAACTAGGGTGTCTTCCCTTATATTACTTATATCATCTTCTATTCTTTCTCCTTTTTCTTTACACCTCCTTCTCTCTTCTGCTCACCCCCCTCTCTGTCTCTCCCTCCACCTCTCTCCCCTCGCCTTCTTCATTCTTCTTTTCTCCCGTTTCTTTTTTCATGTTATGATTGCTCCCCGCCATCCTGCTATTTGGTTTTCTAATGGTCTAGATATCATGTATCTGTTGGCAGATGTGTATCGTCGCGACTTGTCGCCTGCCTTTCCAATTAGGTGTTCAATTTTTCCCCCGCGAGAGAAGGCGAGAGAAACCTCGCCAGCCAAATCATTTCGTCGGTCGCATATTCGCAGGTGACTGACTGACAACACGTCGACTGCTGCACGCCGGAGAGTGCTCATCCGATCAGCTATATTGACCGCAAAGCAGCAGCAGCAGCAGCAGCAGCAGCAGCGGCAGTAGCAGTAGCAGCAGCGGCGGCAGTAGCAGTAGCAGCAGCAGCAGCAGCAGTAGTAGTAGTAGTAGTAGTAGTAGTAGTAGTAGAGGTAGTAGTAATGGTAGTAGTAGTAGTAGTAGTAGTAGTAGTAGTAGTAGTAGTAGTAGTAGTAGCAGTAGTAGTAGTAGTAGTAGTAGTAGTAGTAGTAGTAGCAGTAGTAGTAGTAGTAGTAGTAGTAGTAGTATTAGTAGTAGTAGTAGTAGTAGTAGTAGTAGTAGTAGTAGTAGTAGTAGTAGTAGTAGTAGTAGTAGTAGTA